GCAGATTTAGCCACAGATGAGTGGGCAAGGAGTCCAGAGGAGGCAGCGGGGCTCCACAGGTCAATGGTGTGCACGGGAAAGACCAATGGGGCTGGGATGAGTGTTGCTGTGCTGCCAAAACTCACTTCTTTAGGAGGTGGCTAAATGCCCAAGGGTCACCAGGGTCTGCTAGGCAGGGAAGCCCTCAGCTTCGGAGGCAAATGTGTGATCCCTTCAAGGCCGTGGTGCTTTCCTCTGCCTCTTGATCTCAGTGGGTTGGAGGTCCCCACTCTGGGTGGGTCTTTGGAGCCTAGTGCCTGGGGCTGCTTTTGTAGGACACAATTAAAGGTTGATGCAGTTTAGGATGGTGAGGCCATGATGGTAAGACAGCTGCCAAGATGCAAGGTGTTTGGGTGGTGGAAGTGGGGAGGTAGTGTCTCAGAGCCCTGGGTTCTGGTTGGCCTCTTGTGACTCCTGCGTCCACGCGTACAGGCAAGGGGATCTTTGAAGACCAAACAGGTACTCACTCCTGGGTCCGAGGGCTTCCCACTGCTTTAACCTCCTCTAGTGCTGCCAGTGCCACTTCTAGGATCACTTCATCACTCATCCTGTAACCCCAGTGGCTTCAGATGGGATGAGGAAAGAGCTGGGCTTCTCTGTCTGCTGCAAGTTGCACCAATTTCAGAGCTCCCTGCCTGCTCCCTCACTGATATCCAAGGTCTCTCCTGGATAAGCTTGGCTCCAAACTGAAGACTGAGCAAGGAGCATGTGGAGCCTCCAGTGGCACTAGAGACCCATCACTGGTTTCAGTAATACTTTTGTCAGGCCCGTGACCCTACCTGCTGGATACCTGGGCACTTACTGTTAGGGCTGACCCTCCATTTGCAGTGGGTGGCCAGCACAATGACCCTGTCACGACTTCCTGGGCTACAGACAGTGTCATTCTGTTTTCATACAGCGCTGAGCAAATACTCGATCTCTAAGCATAGGAGCAGTAAATAGGCACCATGTGAAGCATAGGTCTGAAAAGTCTTGCTGCCAGGTCGCCATGCCTTGCGGGGTTAATTGAGATGTAAATGGTACCTAAGCCTCTTGCCGGTCCTCCGAATGGGATGGCTGTCCAGCCCAGCCCACATGAAGCAAACTGATGCCACCCGCCTAGGGCTATACACATGGGGCCAGGCCCTGTGGCATGCTGAGCCCTTGCCTCTCCTGCTGACTCTGGTGCGGCTCAAAGCCCTTCTGGGATTTGCTTGCGAGTGGTTTGGAGTCCTTGGAACTGTTGCCTTTCCCTCGAGAACAGACCACGGCTGCCTGGTCTGGAGTTCACAGCTGTCCTGCCCTTCCTATTCTGCTTGTGGGGAGTCTCATCCTGACTGGTCAGACAGGAGCTCCAAAGGGTCTTTGGTATGGTAATGCTGGGAGCTGCTCCCCTGGACAATGCCACATGCCCTGCTGGCTCCATCTGCTTCCAGCTTGGCCTCGAGAACCAGCCGCAGAGTGTTGAGGCCCATCCTTCTCACGTAAATAAACAGCTATAAATAAGGAGAGAGCCAGAGGTGCGAAAACTGCCAGGAGCAGATTTCAGAAAACCAATAAATTAGTCTGGAAAAACAAAGGTTATGAACTATCATCCGTTCTCCAAGCTAAGGGGCAGAGCCTCCCTTTCCTGATGAATGATGAGGGGTCAAAGCTGCGTACCAGGAGCAGGGCTGGGCTGGCTCCATCTATCACGGGCTAAAGATCTCTTCTGCTGTCTCCTGGCTCTGGTTGCACTAATACACTGACAGTCATGTTCTGAGAATAGGGACAAGAACCCAAGTGAACATGCAAAGAGGAACCGGATTCTGGGAAAGAAGTTCTCTGTTGGGTGATCCTGCAACAGGCTATCGTGGTGCTAACGATGTGTGCCAGTATCGATTAAAGCATCAGCACTCTTCTGGCTCCCCCCTATCTTGTGCCTTGGAATTTCTCTCTGCATGTTTGACTTCCCCTTTGGAAGCGTGGCGTTCACCTCGCCGAAGCAGGCTTGGGAACAGTTGCTAGGAAAGATGCTGGATAAGACTGGAACATCTGATCGGCTGCTGTTGTAAGTCCGGGGTCTTTTGTACAGTCCTGAAGACAGTAGGCACTCAGGGCAGTGCCAGGGCAGGAAGGGGACTAAAGGCATTATGTATTTCAGATCCAAGAGCCTGGCCCTCCAAAATGCAAAGTATCCTTGACCCTGTGCGAAGTCCTTCACTTCCTGAAATCCGAGTCCAGGGCTGCTGGCTGCCCAATGCCCTCCAGTGGCATGAACTGTCCCTGTAAAACATGTGCGCAAAGCACTTCTATCCCAAGCTGCCCTGGACACTAAGCTGAATCAGTAGAGTGTGGAGGGTAGGAAAAGGAGACAAGAAACCCTTGTAGAAAGCTAAATCACTCCAGGCCTGACCTGAAGCTACTGAGGTCGAGGGAGAGAGCCCCATCGACCATGATAAGCTGTGGATCAGCCCCTCGGTGCTGGAGACGAGCATATTTGCAAGCTTTCACTTCAGCCCTTGGGACAAAGAGCTGAGTCAGACCTTTATAAGGGCTCGGATTTTGCTGGGAAAGCAAATGGCCTCGAAGTTTATGCAAACTTGGGTTAGGCTGGGAGGAAGCCTCTGTCAGTCTCTGCTGGCCTGGGGGTATCTCTCTATGGAGCCAGCATCAGGCCACAGGGGTGCTCGGGTCCCAACGAGCAGGATTAGAAGCAGCAGAAAATACGTTGTACTCGCCTCGTCCTGCCTGATGAATCTTTCAGCACTCAAAATGCAATGACAAGTCTCCTGGAAGGAACTTTTTGCTGCCCGTTTCCAGCATCACAAGAGGAGGAAAAAAGAAAGCTGGAAGAACAGCCTCTGCAATGCAAACCTGATTGCAAAGTGTCCACGTGCCCAGCATGGGCACTGCAACCACAGGGTGGAAAGCTGGTGTTCAGACCAGGGCAGGGAGCTGCAGTCATGTGCTCCTCCCAGGCTGGGTGAGGGGCTCCCCGAGCCCGTCTTCTCACTACCTCCCCCTGACTTCTCCTGACTCCCTTCAGCTGCCACAGTTGTTCTGTGAGGAAGGTCATTGACCCACTTAAGGGTGTGGGCAAAGAAAGGCAAGTCTACGGGCTCCAGCATCCTTAGGGTCAAGGTTGGAGGGAGCAGAGGATATGGGCCGCTCCTCATGGACCTACTTCCCTTCCTTCCACCAAGTGTGCAAAGGGACGTGGCCCCTAGTGAGATGCCTGCCTCTCCACCACACACTCTCTCTGCTTCCCTTCCTGCTCCTTTTATTTCCCATGGTCGGGTTGTTTGTATTGCAGTCATGCCTAGGGGAACCTCTCTGCGCTAGGAGCTGTACGTGCATCTAGCGAGAGCCAGTCCATGCCCTGAAGAGCTTCAAATCTAAACAAGCAAGAGGGACGCAGGGTGTCGGAAGGGACGGGCTGCCACCTCCCTTTCCTAGCCAGGGTACTGAGATGGAGAGAGGAAGAGATGGGTTTTCGCTTGGTCCCTATTGAAGCGGTCAGGTCCTCCAGAGACACGGCTCTTCTGACACTCTGCCCAGGAAGGAGCCGCGGGGTGCTGAGCGTACCTGGAAAGCCTGGCCGGAGGTGACTTGCCTAGGGCCTCCCCGGGGGCAGAGGCAGAGCCGAGAGCTGCCTCAATCGCCCCTCTCCGACCCGTAACTGCCGCCCTGATCTCTGCCCAACGTGACATTGTGCAGTCGCAGGTGCCATCCCAGCTCTCTGGGCAAGGCCACGTTGGCAGAGACACCGGGGTCTGAGTCAGAGTGCGAGCCCGGGGGAGATTTTGGGAGGGGGCAGGGGCTGGGCCAGAGCAGCGCACACAGTCCCTTCTCCCGGGCACTTCTCCCTCTCCGCTCAGCGCGGCCCCCACTGCCTGGGGGCCCTGCCAGCCCCTTCCCTCCCGCCTCTCCAGGTGGGGCAAGGGGGGCAGGTGGAAGCAGCTAGGCCCCTGCGCTGGGGTGGGGGCGGCGGCGGCAGAGCAGAGCCCTGTGGAGCGGGGCACGGGGGAACAGGCAGTGGGGCTGAGGGGGTGCGGGGTGCCCCAGGGCCTGGGAGAGCTACCAGCTCCCAGCTCCCCCCGACTAGGGGATGCTCCCCTCTGCCCGGGGGCAGAGCCAAGGCGGGGCCATGCTGGCACCAAGGAGGTGGGTAGCAGTGCCCCAGCCCAGGAGTCTGCCATGTAGTGTGGGCCCCCCCCACCATGCAGTATGCAGTGAGGGGGGGACACCCATGCAGTATGCAGGGAGGGGAACCCCTGGGCCCATGCAGTGCAAGGAGGGAGGACACCCATGCAGTGGAGTGAGGGGAGCCCCCTGGCCCCGAGCAGCGTGGGGAGGGGATGACACCCATGCAGTGCAAGGA